CTGTTACATTCATTTATTAGCCTATTGTAAAAAAGCATCAAGCACTCCAGCAATGAGACAACAAGAATGAACATCCATATATATGTATTTGCATAGGTATATATATATATATATATATATATATATATATATATATATATATATATATATATATATATATATATATATATATTTGTTGACATTTGCCGCCTACATTTACATTAGCCCAGGAAACTCCGAATCAAGTCATCATTGGTTGAAGGCAAATCAGGACTACAGGAGATCCCAGTTTGTCTCTTCCAGCCGCGTTACTACCAATGGAAGCAAGTGGAGACTGAAGAATGACACTAGAGCACTGACGCTTGAATGGAGAAGATGGCCATTGCCAGGACTCCAAAAGCATTTACAAGAGATCACGGGGCCACTGTCGTTTAAACATTAGAAGAGTGACTATGGGTGATGTTAGTGTGAAAATCGTATTAGTATGGGTATAATAGTATTAGTATAGGTGATCGAAGATGGACAGGATTGCGCTAGACGATTAGGATCATGACTGAGGGTCTGGTGAAAGATTGACGGATGGATAATTAGGATGGAATGATGGCAAGGACAAGCGGAATGGTAAAGTCATGGTGTTGATTCTTATTTGTGACATAATATGGGGCATTGACTATTGTTCGAAGTGCTTTGGATTAGAATTATTGGATACATATTTGAGTAATTAGCTTTCCCACACAGTTCAACTCCATAGGTTCAAATAGGTTTCAGTATTGTCTTGTAGATTATAAGTTTGTTTTAAGTCGATAGATTAGATGTTTTGGTTTAATTGTCTATATATTTAGCCAAATCGTCCTTTTATGTTCTTGTCTTTTAAGTCTTGTATGTAGGTTTAGAGCAGTGTTGGGCAAAAATTATCTATAGCTAACAGATAACAGATAACAGCTAAATTAGCTATTAGCGGGCAGATAATTCTGCAACTAAATTAGCTATTAGCGGGACCAAGCCGCTAACTTTTAGCGCAAGTTAACTTTTAGCTGTTCTTACCGCTAACCGCTAATTATCTTTATCTGTATCTTCAGCTAAAAGCTAATAGCTAATTCTTCGGATTTCATTGGTCTCAGAGTCGACTATGACGTTTTAGGGGCGCTTTTTATGAAAATAATATCGGATTTTAGGTGTGACCCCCTGCTCCCCCCCCCCCGTGCACCGAGTTATCGTAACTTTTCTGATTTTATCGATATATGGGTCGACTATTAGGTTTTGGGGGGCGCTTTTTATGAAAATAATATCGGATTTAAGGTGTGAACCCCTCCTCCCCCCCCGGGCACCGACTTATCGTAACTTTTCTGATTTTATCGATATATGGGTCGACTATTAGGTTTTGGGGGGCGCTTTTTATGAATATAATATCGGATTTTAGATGTGACCCCCTCCTCCACCCCCCCGGGCACCGACTTATCGTAACTTTTCTGATTTTATCGATATATGGGTCGACTATTAGGTTTTGGGGGGCGGTTTTTATGAAAATAATGTCGGATTTTAGGTGTGACCCCTCCCCCCTCCCCCGGGCACCGACTTTTTGTAACTTTTCTTATTTAATCGATATCAGGGCCGACTCTTAGGTTTTTGGGGGCGCTTTTTATGAAAATAATGTCGGATTTTAGGTGTGACCCCTTCCCCCTACCCCCGGGCACCGACTTTTTGTAACTTTTCTGATTTAATCGATATCAGGACCGACTATTAAGTTTTGGGGGGCGCTTTTTATGAAAATAATGTCGGATTTTAGGTATGACCCCTTCCCCCTACCCCCGGGCACCGACTTTTTGTAACTTTTCTGATTTAATCGATATCAGGACCAACTATTAGGTTTTGGGGGTGCTTTTTATGAAAATAATGTCGAATTTTAGGTGTGACACTCCTCCTCCCCCCCCCGAGCACCGACTTTTTGTAACTTTTCTGATTTAATCGATATCAGGACCGACTCTTAGGTTTTGGGAGGCGCTTTTTATGAAAATAATGTCGGATTTTAGGTGTGACCCCTCCCCCTCCCCCTCTCGGCACCGACTTTTGTAACTTTTCTGATTTAATCGATATATGGGTCGACTATTAGGTTTTGGGGGCGCTTTCAATAAGAGTTAATGAAAAATAAGAAGTATGTTCAGCTATTTATACTTAGGAACGACCAACTGGATTCAAACAAAAGGTTGATTCTGAGTTTATCGTATTGCAACAATATTAAGATAATAATATCGGATTTTAGATGTGACCCCCTCCTCCACCCCCCGGGCACCGACTTATCGTAACTTTTCTGATTTAATCGATATCAGGACCGACTATTAGGTTTTGGGGGGCGCTTTTTATGAAAATAATGTCGGATTTTAGGTGTGACCCCTCTCCCTCCCCCCGGGCACCGACTTTTTGTAACTTTTCTGATTTAATCGATATCAGGGCCGACTATTAGGTTTTGGGGGGCGCTTTTTATGAAAATAATGTCGGATTTTAGGTGTGACCCCTTCCCCCTACCCCCGGGCACCGACTTTTTGTAACTTTTCTGATTTAATCGATATCAGGACCGACTATTAGGTTTTGGGGGGCGCTTTTTATGAAAATAATGTCGAAATTTAGGTGTGACACCCCTCCCCCCCCTCCCCGAGCACCGACTTTTTTTAACTTTTCTGATTTAATCGATATCAGGACCGACTCTTAGGTTTTGGGAGGCGCTTTTTATGAAAATAATGTCGGATTTTAGGTTTAATCCCCCCCCCCCCGAGCACCGACTTTTTGTAACTTTTTTGATTTAATCGATATCAGGGTCAACTTTTACGTTTTGGGGGGAGGCGCTTTTTATGAAAATGATATCAAATTTGATATCATTTTCATAAAAAGCTCCCCCTCCAAAAAACGTTAGAGTTGACCCTGATATCGATTTAATCAAAAAAGTTAAAAAAAGTCGTGCCAGGGGGGCCCAATCTCAAATTTGGTATCATTTTCATAAAATATTTCCCTCCAAAACATAATAGTCGACCCTAATAACGATCTAATCGGAAAAGTAAAAAAAAGTCGAGGCCCGGGGAGCCCAATCTCAAATTCGATATCATTTTCATAAAAAGCGCTCCCGAAAACATAAGAGTAGACCCTAATATCGATTAAATCAAAAAGGTTAAAAAAAGTCGAGGCCCCGGGGGGTCACACCTAAAATCCGACATTATTTTCATAAAAAGCGCCCCCCAAAACCTAATAGTCGACCCATGTATTGATAAAATCAGAAAAGTTACAAAATGTCGGTGCCCGGTTGGGGAGGGAGGGGAGAGGTCATACCTAAAATCCGTCATTATTTTCATAAAAAGCGCCCCAAAAACCTAATATTCGACCCATATATCGATTAAATCAGAAAAGTTACAAAAAGTCGGTGGCCGAGAGGGGGGGGGTGTCACACCTAAAATCTGTCATTATTTTCATAAAAAGCGCCCCCCAAAACCTAATAGTCGACCCATGTATTGATAAAATCAGAAAAGTTACAAAATGTCGGTGCCCGGTTGGGGAGGGAGGGGAGAGGTCACACCTAAAATCCGTCATTATTTTCATAAAAAGCGCCCCAGAAAACCTAATATTCGACCCATATATCGATTAAATCAGAAAAGTTACAAAAAGTCGGTGGCCGAGAGGGGGGGGGGTGTCACACCTAAAATCTGTCATTATTTTCATAAAAAGCGCCCCCCAAAACCTAATAGTCGATCCATATATTGATAAAATCAGAAAAGTTACAAAATGTCGGTGCCCGGTTGGGAGGGGGGGGGGAGAGGTCACACCTAAAATCCGTCATTATTTTCATAAAAAGCGCCCCAGAAAACCTAATAGTCAACCCATATATCGATTAAATCAGAAAAGTTACAAAAAGTCGGTGCCCGGGGCACTATTTAAAATCCGATAGAATTTTCATAAAAATCGCCCCTGATTACATAACAGTCGATCCTTATATCAATTTATAAAAAAAAATTTTCTAGTGTTAGCGCTAAGTTAGCTTTTAGTTAAGTTAATAGATAATTTAGCTTAAGCTAAAAGTTAGCGGTTCGTTTCCGCTAATAGCTAATTTAGCGCTAAAGTTATCTGCGCTAAAACAGCTGGAAGCTAAATTAGCGTAATATTTAGCGCCGCTAATTTTAGCTTTTTAGCGGTACGTTAGCTAGTTAAAAATTAGCGCGCTAACGCCCAACTCTGGTTTAGAGTTAGTCTTTTATCTAGAAGGAAGCCAAGGTATCGGAATGTGTCTTAGTAGGGAAGAGGGATTGAATTAAAAAGTATTTCCGAATCTGCATCGAAGATTTAAATTGACATGTTTGCATTGTGATTTTTATTTCTGATGCATCAGTTATTGTACAACTGCTTGCTCAAATAGAGGTCTTTTTGTAGGTTTGTAGGTTTCGGATCATTATTAGAGGATCTTAATGGGAGGATAGAATGGTAATATCATCAGCAAATATTGCTAAGAAGATGTCGGGATTTCAAGGGATATCTCCAGTGAATAGGAGTTACAATTACAAGTCTGCAGATAAAAAACTCGTTTTTTGTCAAATTTAAACTGGCAGGACTCCATGTTTTGTAGGAATTTTTAACAAATAAAAAAAAATATCTTTTTCTTATTTTCCTATTATTTTTTCTGGATCCAGCATGCAACTTCGTACTCATTTATTAATATCTCATGTAGTTGTTAATTTGATAATTTATAAATATTGAGCTTTTTAATTTTTAGATTATTTAACCTAAGAATCCGTTCCGATTAATGATGTTCCGCATCCGATAATTTGGTCAAATCGTAATTTAATTAATATTAGATGATGTATGAAAATTATATACACAATAATATAATTAGATGATATAACATAATTAAAACAAACTAATAAATGTGAAGTATTTTCAAAGAAACTATAGAAATAAAATAGGAAAAATATTCTAAATAGATATAGAGTGAATTTTTGTTTTTATGTTTTCTTATTATTCACACAAAATTTAAACATGAAGAGTTAGTGGTGATGAGGAAGAACAACCTTGTGCTGGTGGTAGTGCTTGCTGTTCTGGTCCTGAGTGCTGGTGGCGTGGTGTCCCCCATAATGGCTGCCCTCACTATATTGGTGGGCACCGTGGGCAGTGCTGTAGTGGTGAGAGCTGGGCTCTTGGTGTCCTTCATATAGCGGCAGTCCGTCCTTGGTGACTTTGGTGTTGAAGCCGCTGTGTTTGTCGGCTGTGTAGTGTACCTCTCGGACCGAGCCGTCGGACTCCTTCAGCTTGTAATATCCTTTGACGTAGTCACCATCTCTCGACTCCTCCTGGCTCTTTATGTCGTGGGTGTGCGGATCGTGAACGCTGTATTCGAACTTGTATCGAGGGTGGGAGTCCTGGACAAAATGAATTTTAATTGGTTAGTAATTCTAGTCAGAAATAAGTTCTATGATATATGTATAATTAATTACTTACATAGTGTTCTACCTCTTCGTGTTCCCAATGTGAACTCTGAGCTAACGACAAGAGAGTTCCGAAAATCGCTCCGAAGAGTAATAGTGTCTGTAGTAACAAATAAAATTAAATAAACATTTAAAACATAAATATATATATTAACATTTCTAAATAAAATGAAAAAAAATACTTTGTTTGAGATCATGTTTCGAGTAAGGAAGGCAGCTCTGAATGATACCTTCTCTGGGTCAGCAGACTTATTTATACTGCAAAGGATTTACACATGAGCGATCTACTATGTGAGGAAATATCCATTCTTAATACTCAGATTTCGTGTTAGTTAAAATATATAGAAATTCCAGATCATATTCATTAATGAAATTTGTTATCTGTGGCCCAAAAAACTAAGGCCTCAAAATCCTGAAATATGTTAGCTTATTCCTGAAGAGAAGCTATTTTAGAGGAAAAAATAACTGGGTACACTAACATTGTAAGCTGTTGCCCATAGTTAAGAATGAAATTTAATATTTTACTATGTAGAGGCTGGTTTTTTTTAAAGTGAGCTATTATTATAGTTTTTTTTTTTTTTCAAAAACGACTTTGACAAAAATAAACAACGAGATATAACAGATCAAAGGATAAAAATCAACCATTAACTTGATTTTCAAAACTTTGTAGTTTCCCTAATTTTGTTTCTCTACCAGTCAAAATCTAATGTATTACTTCATTTGACAATTTGGATTAATTTAAACTAAAATAAGGGCAATGTCTGTTACAGAAAGTTGGAATTGTAATATTTCAAAAAAAAGTTTCTAAATTAAATTTTTTTTTTACAGTTCTTGAAAATGCCTCAAGAAGCCGGAACGTTAATAAATAAAGAAATAAAATAAAAACATACTATATTGGTGACCTGAGGCCTAAAATCTAGAGAGAATTATTTTATCAAAAGTAATGCTGCCCTACTACAGGATTGCTTCGTACGCAGCATACTTATCAATCCATACCGACATTAATTTTATATTATATTTTTCCATTATATATATATATATATATATATATATATATATATATATATATATATATATAATATATATATATATATATATATATATATATATATATATATAATGTTGTATTTTATATATATATATATATATATATATATATATATATATATATATATATATATATATAAAATGTTGTACATGTAAAATGACAATTCATGTCTTTATGTAATAAATTATTAAATAGCTCTGAATACAGAATATTACTTTACATGTAACTAACTATCACCTTTGTTGGGTATGGATGTTATATACACCTTCGAGCATTTTTTTTTGTATTTATTGATTTGTTCTTCCTTTCTTTTTTGTATATATATTTAAGAAATTTTGTATTATTATCATTTAGGTATAATTATTTTTATTTTATTCATTTTTTCTTTATCCATGCCAATCAGCTGTTTCATATATCCTTCTTCTGTTGTGTTAATGGAATACTTTGTTTATTTGTTCAGCATGTCTTTGGATGAAATGATGAGATGTCAATAGTCTATTTTTCCCCTCTTTTCTATATACGTGATCTTCTTTTTTTTTCTCTGATGATGCCTGAATTGATGAATCGGTGTTAAGTTAACTGTTCATCTGTTTATTACAGAATCATGACTGTTTAGTTTCAATTTTTCCAATAATATTTATATTTAACGTAATAATTATATTTTTAACATTTACCCTTCTTGCTCACGGAGGTTAATGACCGGTTGGACATTGAGATACTATTTTAATAGATGTTTTCGAAAAACATGTTCGTGATTAAGCTGTAATAACGGTATACAATTAGAGTGCCTTACAGCAATGTTTTGATTAACCATAGGTTGGAGGGGTTAGTTTATTTCCCTTGGCTTTGTTCATAATCACAATGAACGAAGCAGAGAAACAGCTTGAACCTTGTAGTTTTTGATGTGAATTAAAACGCATAAAAGCAATTTATTGCTTTTGTTTTTTTCTATTCTCTTACTAAAAAAGAAAGCCGATCTCTTTAGAAGGATTAACATTGTAAAGCAAAGTAGCTATTCAATTTATTTGTAATAATGAAATTACTTTACAAAAAATATTTATATATGTATGTAATCAATAATTGCTTCAAAAGTCTGCGGACTTTTCAAGTGTAAATCCGGAGCGGTATATATATAGGTCCACCGTTCCTGGACAGTCACCATTCATCGCATCTAGCTCACCTGGCAACATGATCTCTATCAAGGTAATTCTTATCATCATTTATAAATTAAAGTAAAGTAATTAAATATATATATATTTCAGTCGCTCATCTTCCTTGGAGTGATTGCTGTTTCCTTCGTCACAGGCTCCCACTGGGAAAACCATGAAGAGAAACATTATGTAAGTTTATTAATATTTATTTTATTACTACATGTTATAAGTCTTAAAAATAAAAATAATTATAAAATGTTTCTCCAGGATTCCCACCCTCATTACAAGTTCGAATACAGTGTTCACGATCCGCACACCCACGACATCAAGAGCCAGGAGGAGTCGAGAGATGGTGACTACGTCAAAGGATATTACAAGCTGAAGGAGTCCGACGGCTCGGTCCGAGAGGTACACTACACAGCAGACGAACACAGCGGCTTCAATGCCAAAGTCACCAAGGACGGACTGCCGCTGTATGGAGGACACCAAGAGTCCAGCTCTCACCACTACAGCACTGCCCACGGTGCTCACCAATATAGTGAGGGCAGCCATTATAGAGGACACCACGCTACCAGCATTCAGAACCAGAACAGCAAGCACTACCACCAGCATGAGGTCGTCCTTCACCATCACCACTAACTGAAATATGTTTAGATTACATGTGAATAATAATAACAATACATATAACAAAACATTTCTGATTTAATACTCTTAGAACAGTTTCCTGTCTTTTATTTTACTTTTTCATAAAAGAAACATCATATTTATAATATTGTTTAGCATTTACAACATTGTTTGTCTTACATCCAAAAATAAAAAGTGGTGAACGAATCCAATAAATTGTCATAAATTAATAAATCTGATATTTTAGGCAAATACTTTTTTTGAAAGGAATGGATTATTCAACTTCTTAAAAAAAAAATGTTATTATAAATATGTATAATTTTACTTAATAATTAACAAAGCCAGATTACTAATACAATAACGAAAATATTATTGTGATCATCAAGAAGTCAAAACGATGACCGAATGCACAAAGAATAATCAACATTTCCTCAATCCAACGAATTTATATGAAAATGCAGCTCTTGAATTTATTTCATAAGTTTAGTTATTTGTTTTATTAAATTTTGTTTAAATGTTTTATTTTGCTTTTCTTCTTTCGACATTAATTTTATTTTTTTATCTGTATTTTTAGTTTATATTCTTGAAATCATTAATCTTTTATTTAAATGTCATTGTTAACATATATTTTTTTAGTCTTTAATAATTAAATTTTATGGTTGTATCAACTTTTCTTCTTGAACTTTTAATATTTATACTGTACTCTTTTACTTCTATTCTATTAATATTAATTTATATTTTTTAAAAACGTATTTTTAGCTTTTGTTCTTAAAATCGTTAATCTTTATTCTAATTGTCTTTGCTAACTTATTTCTTTTTAATTTTTAACTTTCAATTTTGGTAACTCTCATTCAATTTTACTATCATATGCATCTGTAACTATTTTCCAATTTCTTAACATTAAATTGTATTTGTTGTTAGCTCTAGTTTTGCAATGTATGACTATGTAGTAGTTGATCCATTAATATAATATAGGGCGAAAATCACCCAGGTGGTTAAAGAGCCCAAAACAAACATTAATAAATAAACAAAAATGTTTTATTTAATAAAAATAATATAATTAATCTTTCGAGGTCATCAATAATTTCTTTTTTACTAAAGCCATTTAAATTTAATTATTGAAGAATTCCTTATTTTAGGTTCATAAAATGTTTAGGTCCAAACTTTCTATTTCAATTACCTTTTCAGGGTTTAGTTTGGACTTCTTCTAAACAATGTCGATATACTTTTAGCCAAAGTGGTCTTCCAACTGGTATATATATATATGCTTGTGGATGCGCAATTAACCTGGAGAATATTAAAAAAAAAAAACTCATGTCTTCTATGGTACAGGGGCCAAATGGTAGCGGCCCTTTAACCAATCCCCTAGGTGCCAACACAACGGCGTCCTTTCAACCTAATTACTTGGGTTCAACAACAATGTCTGATTCTTAATGACCCATTAATTACGGATATGGGTTAGCAAGCGCACCTATGTGCTTTTCCACTGTCCCTGGACCGAAACCCTTGGATATTTAATATAGATTATTATAGGTACTCTTCCCTGGCATCATGAAAAACCACATCGCGATTCCTTATTGATTAATCTTCAACTACTACAATGATTTCAACAGCCATTACTATTACTATGTGTCTTTTTGAAACCCAACATAATAAAAATAAATAAAGTACTCATAATTTACTTGCAGTGATACATTAGATCGTAAGAAAAAAAAACGGTAAATTGATAATTTAAAAATTTCATATAAAAATCTAACTACAAATAAAACAATAATTTAATTAAATTATAATTTTATTTTTTCTAGAAGAATTTTTTACGCAGCCGTTTTTGAATTTTAATTATTGCTCACATGTGCCCCTCTACCCTAAAAAAAAATAAAGAAAAAAGTACAATCTTCTACAAATGAGCTGCTCGAGGCTTATTTTACTTCTCATACAATTTTAAATTAGAACTAACTCTAAAAATTTATTTTTTCTTTTTTTACCGAAATAAAAATATAATGATGTTTTTTACTGATTCTAAATTGGTTTCGTCAAAATCGACTCACCATCACTCCTGTTACTTATGTCGACATTTTCAGCGTTGGAATCTCCTTGATCATTATTACTAAAATTAAAAACTTTTGAAAACTCAGCCTAGTCTTTATATAGGCTTTTTTTTTTTGCCACAGAACTCTTTTTCTGCCATGATTAAACAAATTTAACTCACGGTTTAAACAAGTTACGCTAACTTAAAAAGATACTACTATGGATCAAAAATAACACGAAATCGCTGGGAAACATAGAAATAATCTACTCTCAACTACAATTCAATGCCACTTGATACTTCACTTAGTATTGGGACAGTAGCTAATCTTCTGGAACGTAAAAAAAAAATATAAGCTACTGTTTTGGGTGGATCAATTTATTGACCCAAGGTTAAAATTAATATACTTTATTTAAATATGACTTATTTAAGTCCACGTGGTAGGATCGTCAGTAGGCTTCTTTACGGACTTGAAGGAGAGATCAATTGTCAGGAGAGTCTATAGCTACGTGGTTTTAGTCGGTGGGTATTCACCCATTTCATAATGTCCATACACGCACTTACCACGCTTGATGTAGTTTAACGTTTATAAACATTATCTAACGCCTTAAGCGGCTCGACTTCCACATACTGATCCTATTTAGGAATATTGGATAATGTTTTAATGCGAGATAATGTTTTAAACACCAATATATTATCAATAATGAAAATAAATAGATTAAAAAAATATACATTAAAACAAAATAAGAAGATTTTGGCAATCTTAGTGTTTAATTAATTGCTTTATCTGCTCATACCTATCAAAAATACTGACAAATAATGAATATGCTGTTGAGAAGTAAAATAAGGACTGAGACATTGATAGGTGTGGCAATAACAACTCTCCTATCTTTATATTAATATTTATAACTAAGGGAGAAGATCTCACAGCCATATTCTTTGGACAAGTGAGGTCATATGTGGTCATTATCTATATAGTCGTGATAGTTTTTATTGAAAAGTTTGTATTAGTCGTATGTGGATATTTTTGGTTGTCCCATTTAATTGTGAAGATAAGGTCAAAATGGTGTTTAGTAAGTATGTTTTAGTGCTCAAAAATGATTTTAATGATAGTAATATTTACCAAAATCATATAATAAGGATTGCACCTAAAAAATTACTTTGGATTTGAATATTTATGTCTGCCATAATCTTCTAGACCATTTAGTTTGAGCAGGTCCATGTTTTAGATGAAATATCTGCTAGTTACTCATTGATATTAATCATTTATTATTACCTAATATCTTCTTAAGGTAATATATTTGAAACATAAATTGCACAATCCATATAAAGACATATTTTCCTATTTACGCATATATTCAGATAAATTAATGGTTTTCAAATATTATTTAAATCAATTTAACTGACGAATCAAATTTATTAAAGTATGACTATTTGGGCTCGCTATAACTACTCTTTTTTTTTAAATAAGAATCAGTGATAAATATTTTCTTTTATATATTATTATTCATATTGAGAATAAACATATTTCAGCTAGTGGTGATGGTGAACAACGACTTCGTGCTGGTGGTAATGCTTGCTGTTCTGGTTCTGTGTGCTGGTGGCGTGGTGTCCCCCATAATGGCTGCCCTCACTATATTGGTGGGCACCGTGGGCAGTGCTGTAGTGGTGAGAGCTGGGCTCTTGGTGTCCTCCATATAGCGGCAGTCCGTCCTTGGTGACTTTGGCGTTGAAGCCGCTTTGTTGGTCGGCTGTGTAGTGTACCTCTCGGACCGAGCCGTCGGACTCCTTCAGCTTGTAATATCCTTTGACGTAGTCACCATCTCTGGACTCCTCCTGGCTCTTGATGTCGTGGGTGTGTGGGTCGTGAACGCTGTATTCGAACTTGTATTGGGGATGGAAGTCCTGAATAGAAATATTTTAAGTGAAAGCTTAGACTTGTCAGCGATAAATTTTAAGTTACGTATCTAACCAATTATGATATATTAAAATTATAATGAAGATAGGGGACCAGGGTAAGGATTATATATTTTTTTTACAAGTAATAAAACATAGTTGTGAAATAAATATTACTAAACTCACATAATGTTCCTCCTCGTGGTTTTCCCACTGGGAACCTGTGACGAAGGAAACTATGAACACTCCAAGGAGGATGAGCGACTGAAGTAATAAAAAATAATAATTTGATATATAATATATAACAGTCTCATTAGTAAAAGAATTACCTTGCTAGAACTAGAATGAAGAGAATGAATTACCTTACTAGAGATCATGTTGCCAGGTGAATTAGATGCGATGAATGGTGACTGTTCAAGAACGGTGGACCTATATATACCGCTCCGGATTTACACTTGATAGGTCGACAGACTTTTAAATCAATTATTTATTGCACGTCTAAATATTTCCCTATTTATTCATACAAATAGTTTTAATTCCTTAATTGCTGAAATAATTTTTTATTTTTATTTTATTTATTTATGATATTTACAACTGTATTAAAAAATTAAATATATTAAGTAAATTTGATAACAGAAAATAATAACATGAAATGACTTGTTGAGAAACTACCCACTGGTAGCACTCCAAAAACAAAATGTATTTACAATAAGAGATCTCGAGGCCATCTTCTTTTCAGACGCCTCGGAGGGTTATCAGAAATAAAAGAGGAAGCAGGGTTAGAGACGAGAGGATTCGGATGGTTCTGAAGTTTATTATAGAAGGATTGGTATCTGGATTGGGCCAAATCGGAAACATAAGGTCATTATGGATTATTTTATTGGTGACAAAGTAAGGAGCATTGAGGATTTTCCGAAGGATTTTGGATTGTAAGGATTGGATACGAGAGGAATTCGATGGCTTAGTGGAGCCCCAAAGCTCAACTCCGTAAGTCCAAATAGGTCTTATTGTAGTTATGTATATAAGTCTTTTGTAATTAACTGGAAGCTTAGAGCGTTTGTCTAGTAAGTGCTGGAGTAGTCGGAAACGTCGA